CTCTCTCAAAGGAGTTTTTGATGTCATTGACTTCCACCTGAGATCCTGGCACTCTGAAGATCCCCTGCTGCTGAAGTCCTAAGGAAGAAAGACACAATAAACGCCCTGAGACCTTGACTGTCAGACCACTGGGAGTATCAGTGGCTTACCCTGCCTGTCTCTCCCTCCATCCTTTATATCTGAGTGGTTTCCAAGGCAGGACTCCTGGCAGAAACCCCCAAAAAGGCCTGCCCAGAGCACTCCAGCTGAGCAAACACAGGACACATCTTGCTTTACAGGTCAGGTCTGGGGTGCCCTGCTTGAGCTCGGAGTGGAAGGCTGCAAGATATTTATAAGGGATGATCGAAAAATACAATAAATACTTAAAATTTAAAAACTTACTACAGTGAGGGCAGATGCTACAAATAATGGGAAAGGTATATTCAAAGTGAGGGAGTGTTTTTGCATTTTGAGGGGATTAATGGCAGTGCGCCTTTTCTGTGATAATCCACCCTATTCCTCCAGCATCCCTCACTGATCAAACACGAATGGCAATTTCTATCAAATAAAACCAGGACGGTGCCGGAGCCACCTAATTCACGCTCATTCATGGCACAGTGCTACTTCTGATTCTTCCTCAAGGCCACAACGACAGCCAAAGGCAACGATTTTGAATTGATTCGAGATACTCAGGCAGCCACAACAGGCCAACTAAAGACATGAACGGGGACTTTCAAAGCTGCTTCAGAAAGTGGCAAGAAAGATGGGGTGAAGCGTGCCCAAAGCAGGGAGGCTGGGTCAACAGGAATGAATGGCACCCTCTTGTATTGCAATATATTTTTAAACTTTAAACATTTACAGTATTTTGTGATCACACCCCAGATAGCAACGCCATTCCTTCCCCCACTCAGGAACCCTTTTGAAAAAAGCCAGACTGTGGAGCACATTCCAGCCTGGGAATCAGGGGCTTTGGGGAGGGTTCAATTAGGAAAGGAAAGTGACCTCCATTTTTAAATGTGTTTCCACGCAGACCTCACAGAGGGTGCTGTGATCCTGTGTCCACAGCAAGGGGCTGACAGGGTCCTGCGGGGCTGGAGGATACAGAGGCCTGCCTCGACACAGACGCATCTATCTAATGGGGAGCTCAGAAGCCTGCCCCTCAGTTTTTGTTACCTTAGGAAGTATTTACTCCCAAAAGTCAGCATTCAGTCAAAACCGCAGTTTGTTTAATTGACACCATCCACTTGTTGGCGAAGCGGTCCTGAGCATCCTCCTTAGCGGCTCCCTGGCCTTCCCACCCACTGCTGGCTCTCTCCTCCCTGCCTGGACTACATGGCTGTGTCCATCTGCTGAACGATCCCTTTCTGGAGAGATTGCTTCCCATACTGGTCAAAGCAGCACTTGCCTCCCAGAGCCTTTCAGTGAGTTTCACTGTATCACTGACACCTGTCATTATGTCACAGTCAGCCCCCTGCATCCATGGCTTCCCCCTCGGGGGAGTCAACCCAAGGCACACTGAGCACACTCACAGAGGAAGCCGCGTGTGTACAGACAATTCCAGATGGTCCCTCAGCAGTGTAACAGCTATTCACCTGTCATTTCCACATCTCATGTATTCCAAATCATCTAGCTATAAATTAGGATCCATGGGCTTGACCCTCATGCACTCTGAAGGATCACTTGGTTATTTGCCTGTTTGCCTATCTCCTTGTCCTTTTATTGGTAATGTCAGCCACTCAGGACAGGTGTTGTACCTGCATTATTCAAACCTGAATTCCCATTGTCCAAACAGTGCCTGTTATACACTCAATAAATACATTTTTGGAGGAATGAGTAAGTAGATAAGCATGAATTGTCTTGTGGTGATTAACGAATCCCAGGCACTATTTCCTGCAAGGAGCTTCCAGCCTAATAGTGGTAAGATACTGACTGCTTCTGGGGACAGATGGGGACGAGGAAGAAGCAGAAAGAGTCCTTCCCAGGCCCTCGCTGGACCAGGGTCCTGGCTCTTTCACACCTGCCACTCCCAGGAAGCCTTGCACCACAAACGAGAGGCTCACCTCCTGCAGAACGGCCTGCACCCCCTCTACAGAGCTGAGGACATGGACCCCGGAGCGAGCTTACCGTATAAATTGATGTATCGGATGCAGCTCTCAACAACAAGTGGTATAGCTTGTCCAGAATCCTTAAGAAGAAAAAAATCCTGAGTTTTATTGGGCTTGGCAACCACCATGGTAAAAAGACATTGTAAACACAGATTATGGTGTCAAGCCAGAATATTAGTACCATCAGATAAGTGGGAAAGCGAGCGAGGGAGGGATAATAATCTTAAAGGCACTAAGAATAGGAAGTAGAGGGTCTCCGCTAAACGCGGAAGAAGGCATGGCTCTGATCATGTTAAAGAAATGCTCTGTCTTCCAGGCCAGCAGGCAGGGACCTGGGCTTGGGAGGCTGACGGGCACATCTGGGGCCCGAGAGGGGACCTGTGCTGTGCAGGGTGGCAGTCTGGCTCGCAGATGCTCTGCCTCGCCCTCCCGCTGCCTCCCCTCACTCCCTTCCCCCAGGGCTTGGACACCAAGGCAAGCTCAGGTCGCAGCCCATTCTCGTGGCGCCTGATGCCAGGACTAAACACACCAGGAGCGGGGCAGGCCCGCGTGAACTCTGACTTGAAAAGGGGAAGACTCCTGCCCACGCCGGGACAGCACATGCTTTGCTGACCAGGAAACACCTGGCCAGGGCAGCTTCCTTTTGGATTCCAGGACTGGTTGGCCTTGCTATCATTTCAGACACTTAAGCAGCATAAAATCTGTGTTAAACTTTTTTTGTACTAAGGATTGAACCCAGGACCTTGAGCATGCTAGGCAAGTGCCCTAACACAGAGCTACATCTCCAGCACCCCCAGATGCCCCTTTTCAGAGCTAGGGATTGAGCCCCGGGCCTTCCCATTGAGCTACATCTCTGGCATTTTTTTTTTTTTTAATTTTGAGACAAGGTCTTCCTAAATAGTTAAATTTCCCAGGTGGAATTTGACTTTGTAATCTGCCTGCTTCAGCCTATCGGAATACTGAGATTACAGGCGAGTGCCACCACCCCCTGCTTCTTTTTTTTTCTACAATTTTTTAAATTTTGAGAAACAGTCTCACTAAAGTGCCTAGCCCAGCCTTAAATTCACAATCCTCCTGCCTCAGTCTCCCAAGCAGCTGACATTATAGGAATGTACCATTACACCTGGCTAAACGTTCCTAAAAGGACCAGATTAAATTACTAGCCTCTTCTGCAGGCGAGGGACAACAAGGCATATGTAATATGTGTCCGCAAGCCAGCAAGGATTGGGGGTGCCTTCTACTCAGCCACACCTCACCTGGAAATTCTGCCCGAGCTTCACTGTGGCTAGGGAGAGGAGAGGAGATGGGCCATGGGCAGCAGGCAAAGTCACCTGCTCTGGGCATCAGACCTAAAGACAGGCTCCATCCAGCCACATGGGGCTCATGGGCCTTTCTAATAAATACCTGGTTCCTGGTTCGAGCATTTCTTCTTCCTCTGACAACAAAAAATAAACAGGCGGCAGAGCAGGAGAAAAAAAAGAGATTATGCAGGAGTAAGATCAGTTAGAGGAAGCAGATCCTTCAGAGTCCGTGAACGCTGAAATGCAATGGCGGCCAGCAGAGGTCGTGGGGAGCCTGACGGAGAGCCAGGCCATGGACTGGGCTATCCTGAGTACGGGCCTCACAGACTGTGGAGCTACCCCAGCGGGCTCCCTAGCAGGCCACCTCGCCTCGCCCCGGCACCAGGCCAAGGGGCCTCCAGCAGCTCTTGTCCATGGACGTGGCTGTGTACACTGCCCTGGCCTCATCTCCACCTCTAGCTGCTCCAGAACAAGAGACTGTGGGTCCCCCAGCCGGCAGGACCTCTGAGTAAGCCTGACTGCCCATGGGAAGGAGGGAGGCACAGAATTAGCTAGGGTGAGCCTGGTGTTCTGCTCAGGAAGCCCTGTCCGTGAAAGGTCCACTCTGCACACCCACAGCTGTGAGTGTCCTGTAGGAGGGGCAAACACTCTGCCTACCTCCAAATCCTGCACGGTGTCCTGTGTTGTCCCCCCAATACTGGGTAGCTCTTCCTAGGGCTCCGCTTGGCTTCATTTGCCTGCCTACCCCTGGCCTTCATCAAGCCTGGAGAGCCCCGGTGGGACCTAGAAGCCGGGACAGGCCTGGGTATGGGAGCTCAGAGCACCTTCATGGCCTCAGGGTGAACTGGAGCCTCTGCCTTCACGGAAGGCCACCCAAGTTCGGGGCTGTGCCTGTTACTTTCTGGTGCGCCCAGGTTCTGGGCGGAGAGTTATGTCTCATCTGAGAAGCCTGAGCTGACAGACAGGTAGGTGTTTCTCTTGGCCAGAGCCATCTGTCCTGTTCCTGGTGTCCTGCCCCCTGCAATGCCCTGCTCACTGACCGGTGGGCTAAGCCCACCAAGACCTAGAGCCCAGCAGCCAGCCTGCCGTGTGGACTCGGGCAAGAATCCTGGGCTAAGCAGTGCAAGAGGCAGACTCACACACTGCTCACTGCATGCCACCAGAGCTTGGACACAAGGTGTGTGTGGCCACTGCTGAGTCAGGCAGCAACTCGGGGTGGCAAATCCCAATTCTCATTTTACAAGTAAGAGGGGACTCTCTCCTGCCCCAGAGGTGGCCTCCTGAGCTTTGAAGTGGATCCTTAGAATAAAAATGGGATCTCCTTTTGTCTGAGAGGAGAAAAATATCAAGGTTTTTGTAAGTGGCTCATGCAGGGTGACTCCAGAGTCTTAGAAATTTATAAATCAACTCCAATAATATGTGTCTGTTATGATGAGTTACAGGGTGCTCCCTGGTCCTGCTGAGTCATCAGCACTACGGAGTCCTGTGATTACCATTTCACTGAAATTTAATCCTCCAGCTTTTCATAGGTGGTGTTTTTGTGAATTAGAATATAAAGTTAAATTCTGTCCTCTACAGTTGATGGAGTGAATATATCATGTTGCCTTTCCGTTCCCTGAGAGCTGACAGTCCTTTGGAGGAAAACTGCGGCCTGTGAACTTGTGCTCCTGGGTACCCAGCGCAGGCTGTTGCACTCCTTGGACTGCAGGTGATGCGGGACGGTGTGACCATGCGGAATGCAGCAGTGTCTACAAGCAGGCCGTCTTGGCCCCAGCCACACCACTATCCTCCCTGTGGTCCATCCTCTCCCAAGGCTGCGCACCAACTCTGGCCTGCTGCCCGCTGCTTGGGCGTCCCAGGCCATCCTCTTCCAGGGCCCTTTTCAGGGCCAGGTGACCAGTGGCCCTGCAGTTAGCTCCTCTTGCCCTCTGTGCCTGCAGTGGGTCCTCAAGGCCAAGCTTTGGACAGAGCGCTGAATTCCAAAGATCAAGGCGCCCATTCACATGCAGTCATTGACAGCTGGCACCGAAGACAAAGGCCATGTGAGAGGCTCAAGGAAGACTGGCCAAAGAGCAGTGGCCGCCTGTGACATCTGAAATGAGGAGGCCTCTGGGGGCTGCCACCTCTGCGCAGCCCGAGCTCCCATACTTGCAGACTCTGTGACATGTTGATGGGGAGGAAAGGATGGCTCACTTCACAGTCACACTGTACACAAGACCTCTCTGTTGAGGAATGATGAATTCCACAGAACACTTGATTTTAAAATGTTTCTGCTTAAAGTCGGTTCCTCCCAAGTATCCTGACTGATCACCCCCTCCAAGGCGGGGACACGGTCCCTGTCTCTGGGCCTTCGCTGTTACTGTCCCTTCTGTCGGAGCCTCCTTCTGCCCTGCCCTTCCAGGGATTACACAGTGTCCTTTTAAGTGTCTTCCTAAAGCCCCACAGGCCCCGCTCGGAGCCCGGACTCCTGGAGAACTCGCCCTGGGGGGCAATCGGCTCAGCCTGCCCACACTGCCTGCTTCTCTGCCAGAGACCACCCAGGCTCTGTCCTGTGCTCCTCAAGGGCCAGAGGCAGCAGCTAGCTTGTTTCTCCTGCACACACTGGACCCTTCTGTTCCGGCCTCGGACAAGTGAGAGGAAAGCCTTGTGGGAGGGAAGAGGTAGACAGAGGCTTTTGTGCCATGGCCTGTGTCATACTGGGTGGCAAACCACTCTCTCTGGTTCCTTTCTGTCCCTCTTACCCTGCCTTGGGGGTCCTGCAGCCTAGGAGGCACCCTACGGTACCCCACGGCCAGCGTTCAAACGCTGTTCCTGGTTCCGGCATTCTCCACTTGTGCTCTGCTCTTCTGTTTCTGTTTGCAGTGTTTTCTCTCCCCCACCCACAGGTTCAGACCGTGCTGGGACGCGGGAGGGTCCTGCCTGCCTGTCGCATGCCCGAGGCTGCCCATATATCGTCCCTCCCTGTCCTACAAGTCCTGTGTGAACTGCGTCTGAGGATAGAAGGCAGAGAGAGCTGGAGCAGCGGCAGCTTCTATGACTCCAAAACCACCAGCAACGCCCAAGACTTGTCTTCTGAATGGAACCACTCTACTTCTCCATGATGTGTTTCTCAACTGGCAAGGACTGTCCTGAGCCCTCTGTCCCCGTTAAGAGGGGCTCCCCTTCCTGCAGTCCTCGCCAGCTGCTCTTGCAGCTCGGTCACCGCTTCACTTTATCTTGAGTCATTCTGTGTAGGATAGTTTAGCCTTGTATCCTTCACATCAAAAAAAGGAAATAAAAGCAAGAAACAGAGAGAACTCACCTAGCTGATACACTTTAGTCTTCAGTTTAAGGGGTAAAGGGTAACCCGGAATTCCAAAAGGACCTCCTCAACTCTTCTCCCATCTCCTAAGCCACCAAACAAGAAGCAAAACCAGCAGGACATTTCTCGTGCATCGGCTGGACTGTGTGTTCCTTTTACTGTGTTTATCGACCTAAATGAGGCAGTGACTCACTCATTTAGAAGCCCCAGAGGGGGTGCTCAGGAGGCTTTTGGCTGGAGTCCTCTCAAGAGAGACGGGTCTGAAGTGACACAACGGGAGCCTCTGACTGTCCTCTAGACTCTAGGACTGTGGTCTGGACAGCTCTGGGGCCACTGTGCGGGCATCTCCTCTTCGCTGGGACTTCTTAGCCAGAACCCTGCCCCTAGGCCTGAGAAATACCAGCTTCACTTAGGGGCCAAGGACAGAAGCTGCTCTGCTGGGAAATCTTCACTGGAGCTGGGCACAAGCTGCGGTAAGGGGTGAACTCGGGCCTGGCAGGGGAAGGAGCATCTACTCCGACTGGGCAGGCTGTCTGTCAGCTAGGAAGGGGGGCTGCCATTCCATTGGGTGCGTTCACGGACTCCACGGCTCCCCAGCAAGTACCTTAATGAATGTTTCCATACTGCCGTTAAAGAGTCTATGGCTATACACTGAAAGAGGCCTAGGTCTCCTCATTTTCTGTGGTTTAGGGGGAAGACAGGGGGGCCTAGGGGAAAATGGAACAAAAAAATCAAGAAAGCAACCAACATAAACATACAACTGGGAAAGATGCTCTTGAACCCACACCTGGAAGAAAACAGAAAATGCAAATGGAGGCTCCAGGCACCCAACACGTGGGTCCCCAGTGTTCCATCTGAAGGCCTTAGGATATTTTAAGAGATTTGAATTTACCCACAATGCCACACAGGAGCAACCCTCATGGAACACAAACACATCCTAAATTTTAGAGAGGGGAAAACAGTCCAAGAAATCATGAGACCCCAATCCGAAGCTGTCATCCTAAAAAGCTGACCAGATGGAGCAGGAGCAGGAGAGTGAGGCACTCAGCTCCCTACGAAAGCAAGAGACTTTCAAAAGTGACAAGAAGGGCTAATTTTCATCATGTTTGGCTTAGACTCCTCACCAAGCCTCAGCTGTCAGTGCAGTTGGCCTCTCATGTCCCTAACGGCTCTTTGTATTTCAGATGCACTTGACTCATCTTTCCTTTACTGGTCTGGGAAGCAGCCAATCACTGGTCTCATTCCAGAGATGAAGACATGCATGCTGAGGCAGGCTTCAGCTTCTTTGGGGCCCCAGGTAACTCAGCATGGTGACAACATTTTACTCCTTAGTCAAGTGCACTTTTGGTAAAACACTTTGAAATCCATTTTCATAACATCATGCCATAGTATGTCTCCATTTTACAGAGGCAGAAACCAAGGCATAGAAAGAGGACTGGCAGAGCCAGATCCTAGACCCAGACCTTTCCAGCTCTGAGCTCAAGGTTTTTCCTACCAGGTCTCAGTCATGGAGCCTTAGGGCACTTTGTCATTTCCAGCCAAGGACACATCTCCCTTGTTAATCCTTGGCATGGGCTTCAGCTGAAAGTGTCTTGCTTTACTTTAGGATCTCTACTCCCTGTGCTCTGTTCTTGACCACAGGGAGGGGAAAAGACACCACAGTTTTCCAGGAACAGCGAAACAGCCACAAACACTCGCCCCACTTCCAGAACTGCTCACATGCATATTCCTGTGTTGGCCCAATTGCTCATGTCAACAACCAGAATGACTTGAATCAATGCTGCCAGATTTCCTGGACAAAGAGCTTTTTGAGGTTGGGAGGAGGCCCCTACCTGAGAGGCAATTCATTTTCTAATGGCTTGGTTCAAAATTTGAGAAGAAATATGTGGGAACTCAGCTAGGGTCAGGTGATGGCCACACATGACAAGCAGAGGCTGGTTCCCCCAAGTGTCTACTGATTTCTGTGAACGGGCACGATGTCTTACGGACAGCATAGCCACAAAATCAGTGGGGTTCAGGCTGCCTTTCCTGAGGGTGCATGCCTATCTCCTTTAGCAGCCCAGCCATCCAGGAAACTGTACAATTCCTCGGTGTCTGAGAACTGAGCAAATGCTGTGGCTCCAGGATATGCATGGACAGGGACATGGCGGAGTCCGAAGAGCATGCTACCCAAACACTGGGCCCAAAACAATGGCACAGACAAACCAAACTTCTGAAAAGAAGCAACAGGCAAATTATTTCAAGCCCATCTTGGATCTATGTTAATTTGGTTAGCTAAGTCCATGTCATTTCTTTTTCAAAAATAACTCATTGTTTAAGGATATGTGTTTGCAGGGAGGGGTGAGGTTTCTTCCAATGGATTTGTTTTGGAATTTCCAAATGCAAAAGAGAACACCAAAATCAGGACCATGAGGCCACAGGTTTTAAGGCTGGGAACCAGAAATAACTCAAGGATGGCAAAACTGTCGGTCTGTTTTCATGGTGTTTTGGTTCCCAGATCACTTCCTGATCTCACACTGTAGAACCTCCTGAAAGCCCCTGGGAAGAGGGCAAGAGTTATTAAACTCATCTCACACACAAAGCAAGTACACCCGCGTGAGATGAGGAAACTCGCCCAAGGTCACACAAATAAAATCGTATTGAGGCTAGGGGTGGACGCGGCTTGTCTACACCAGGCTCCAGTGTGAGCGTGAAACTGAAAAATGATTTGGAACAACCAGCAGTAGCGCTGAATTATCTACTGAATTCTCACAGCCAGCAAGAGTGGAGACATGGTATGGACACAGGACGCCCAGTATAAAAAAAACCAAAACTCTAGGTGTCCAGCCAGAGGGTTTCTTAAAAGAAGTCCTGAAATTTGCAAAATGGAGCAAAAAGGAAAACAGGATGTTTCCCCATTTTTCCTGCCCAAGCCAGGAAGCAAAGGACTGGTCGGGTTCCAGTGGGTTTCTCTCCCTGCGTGTGAAGTCTCTGACAGGGAAACGTAGCTATCCCAACTGTGCATGACATCGAATCTGTATCCACTTACTGAAGTGCTGGGTGGGGCAGGAAGTGGGGAGCAGGGGGACAGCTCAGCCAAGGGAAGTGGGGCAGCCTAAGCCTTCCGTCTCGTCTGCTGCTCAGTTGCAGAGCAAAAGGGAAAGAAAAAGAGAGAAAGGCAGGGAAAACAGAACAGAGGAAGCCACAGAGAGGAAGAAAGAGAAACCAGAGACCAAAGTCCCCTTTCTGCCTTTCCACCGGCTGAAAATTAACATACACTGGCAACACAGCAGTAGGCCTCGGAGTCATTCCATGTCAAAAGGATGTGATTAAGAATTCCCCATAATTTAAAAAAATTTCCTAGACAACCAGTAGACGTGGGTGTTGATATCCAAAATGGGGCGGCACTGAAGTTTGATGGTGACGGGGCTCCTGGAGCCTCTGGGTGGGGGAGCGTACCACGCTGCATCTGTTTAGACATAACATCAAGTGTTTCTCCTCTAATCCGGACCACAGGAGCGTGCCAATCAGAGTTAGGGTAGCCAGACTTTCTCGGAACCATAATAATTAGCACCTTACATCTGCACCTTGCTCTGACATTCACAGTTTAAGTGCATCAACTCATATCTGGCCAGCTGAAGTTACAGGGTTACTGTCACTTTGGGTTAACATAAAGTTCTTAAGTGTGAGAAAACATACTGTAGCTCATGTGCAAACACTAGTTCACCTTACTGCACAAGCACAAGAGCAACTTGGCTAAGGGGATCTTCTCAAATGCCCATTCCAATGATACTGGCCATGCTGTGGCCTACGAAAACAGAGCTATGTTTCACCTTAAAGATGAATTTTAGCATCATTTACACAGTGCCTTGAGTTCCAAACATTAATGAACGTGGAGCTGAGGAGAGGAGACTTTCGCTTTACTAACAAAGTTGCCTTTGACCTTGGCCAGGGTCAGAGGGCGCCACTTAGGTCTGCAGTGCAGGCTGGGATGTCTAAGTGGGAGGTCTAATAATCTGAGTTTGGATTTTACAGACCCAAGGTCAGAAAGGGTGTGGAAGATCTCAGAGGGCTTTATTTAAAAAAATAAATAAAATAAACCAAAAGCTCCTCAGCTTTCTCCAAGGAAGGAGCCTATGGCTAGCCAAGGGTTTGATCCCCTTCTCCCTTTCTGCCTTCTGCTGGAAAATTCAGTCTCTTGCATGAGTCCTAGGAATTAGGAGGAAATAAAAAAATGACTCAATTCATTTCTCATGTGCTTCACTATTTGCAGAGTCTGGTGTAAAATATGGCTTGGGTCATTTGGGGACATTAACAACATCCTCTTGCCAGAATGGAGTATTAACACACGTACTTCTAAGAAGTTCTTCGAAAGGAACTCTGCACATCTGGTGCCCTGTGCGTGGGAAGGTGCTGGCCTGGCATGGCTCGGCCTCCTGCCCCCACAGCCTGGGCCAGGGTAACAGGTGCTTAGGCTACACTCAGGGAAGGCCCTGTGCTCCTCAGGCCTCGCCTGCCTTCTGCCTCCCTGAGGAGAAGGAGGGTTCAGGGTTCACCACAGCTCTTGCCAAGTAGAACAACTTTCTAGGATTCTGGGCCACTGGGAAGAATTTGTGGTTAAGGAAAAAATAGCATCCGGTGCCTGAGCCCAGAAAGTCAAGCAGAGTAGCTCTCAGCGTCACACATGGAGGCACAGTGACCCAGGCCGACTCACTATGGTAGCAAGGTAGTTCTTGCTGGGGGCTCAGGAAGGGATGGCTCTAAGGGGTGGCCCTGGCCTCCATAGCTGCTCACGGAGCTAAGCTCTGAAGGACACGCAGGCCAGCCCAGCTGCTGAGTGGCGAAGTGTGCAGTGGCTCTGGTCTGCTCAGAGAAAAGCACAAAGGGTCACACGGAACAAGCTGGCCAGAAAGCGGGAGTTGCCATGGGTTACTCTTTCCATAGCCCATGGTGGCCAACCTGTGCAGAGGACACGGGGCCTGGGCACATGGCTGCAGTGTGCACATGCAGAGAACCAGCCACCCCAGAAGCCTGGGAACGAGAGGCAGGGCGGGCCTGCCCCAGTCACACACTGACGAGAAGAACAAACAGCCACCTGACAGCCTCTGGCCTTCATGGCTGCCCCAGCCTCCTGGAAGGGCTCAGCGTCCCACCCCAGGGGCAGCACCAGGGGAAAAGGCCCTGCTGTCCTCCTCGGCTCCACGGCACTCCCACCCCACCTGGAGGCCACGGCCTGACCATCCAGGACCGGACAGTGACAGTGGCAGGGCCTGTGCTTCCCTCCCAACCTTGAGCCCCACCCCCAGTTCCCACGAGCCACACCGCACAGCATCCTGCTGCAGCTCAGGCAGCCAGGTTAAAACCAGACACAATTCCTCAGCTCTCACCTGGTGGTGCCACATTCTGCTCTTTCCCCTGGGGAGAAAACACAAAGAGTACATACTGACGTTTAATTGGCTTTTTAAAAAATCAGAGAACATTCATCTTTTCTTAAAAATAAAACAGTGAAAAATCCCGGGGACCCAATGACCTTTGCGTTCTAACCTCCTGCCTGTGGCTACTGCTAACCCACTGTCCCTGTGGCTGTGTAGACCAGGGATGGTGAACCTTTCAGAGCTTTCGGTGACAACAAACAGCCCACCGTGGCACGCATGCCGCAGGGTCACCTCCCCTGGTCTAGATGCTTTGTGTGAACAGAATGACCCGACGCAGGGTCGCTGCATCTCGCCCTTCATTTAGCAGGGAGCTTCTGACACTCACCTGCCAAGCACAAGTTGAACACACTGGGTCGGGGACAGACCGCATGGCCCTTGTCCTGTCCTTCACCACCAACTGCCTCTAGATGTCTGACCCTGGACCGTGCCCCAGAGCTACTCCCTGACACCTCAGTACCGGCGTCCCCACCCAGACAGCTGTTCAAGGGACTGATGATCCCTGAAAACTCTCCTTCCTTCCTTCACACGGTGACCTACTTTGCTATGTCCGCTGTTATCTGCAGCCTGAAACACCTTCCTTGGACTTGGGCTTCCTCTTCCGCTATAACCCATCCTGTCTGTACTCACCAATCAAAGAAATGTTTTAAGCTGGAACCCCCATCATCGCATTCCCTTGCTTGCAACCCTCTGGTGACCTCTTGTAATTCACAGAATAAAACTCAAGACTCGCTCTCTCTATGCCCTTTGAGACAGCAGTGGCCCTTTGAACTCTCCCCCATCTACTTGGACGACTTCTCCTTTGAGCATGAGACTCCAGACACAGATGCCCTCCACACAGTCCTCCAGTTGGCCTGGTAGGCCATCTCGCTGCACCCATGTATGGCTGGCTCCTCCTCGCTTGATGGGTCTGCACTGAAAAGCTGGGTCCAGAGAACAGCCTCTTCTGAATATCACTTCACATGCCCCCTTTCTCTAACTTCTCTCCACACATTGCTCATCATGAATATTTTTCTTTCATATTTTTGTCTATTGCTAGTCTATCATCACTAAAGAACACTACATTTTACAAGAGAAAGAAGCTCATCTGCTTCTAAAGCTGCTGTAATACCAGTCTTGGAAGGTGTTCAGCACAAAGTAAGTGCTCAATATATTTGTTGAATGAATGAATGAATGAATGAATGAATGAAGCCTTTAAGAGGTTTTGTGCCAGATGATTATAATAGACCATAAGTAGATGATGCACTTAGTGTGATATGTGCCATGGGACACTTGCACACAGGGTGCCATCCCTGTAACAACAGAGGAGCAGAGACTAGGATAGGTGGAGTGACTTTCCTGAGATCTTGCTAAATCAGTTTGGATTCCAGGCCACTCTGTCTGATTACCAATCAGAGCTTTGCTTGAGGGACCTGGTTCCGCCCACAAACAAACACAGGGTGAGGGAAAAACAGAGATGTGTGGTGCCTCAAGCTCAGTGACTCCCTGCAGGTGGCATGTGGTTTTTGACAGCTTCCCTCCCTTCTCAGCTTCAGAGACAGACACCTTAGAAGACAGCTCCCTGGGCAGGGTGGGGTGCTTGGAATGAAGGAAGACATTAAGTGGTATATTTTCCTTTTCCTATTCAAACTATACTGGAAATGCAGAGCTCTTAATCTGAGTGTTATTTAACTCATTTTCCGTCTTCAGATCTCAATGTCCTTACCTGTATTATCAGTCTGGTGCATTACAGGTGCTTATATTCCTGGATCTTACATACCAAATATCAGCAATATTTATTTCTTGCGATTGTGATTTCTAAAAATGTTCCCTGCCATTTCCCAAGACCTCTGGAAGGATGAGATCTACCCCTAGTTGAGAACCTTTAAAACAATGCTGTCCAACACAAATGCAAACTGTGTTTGCACAATACAAAGAGCAAAGAGAAACAGATGACATTACTTTAAGCATCTATTCAGCCCTATATGTAAACGATATTATTTGCATATATAGCAACACAAAGTAAACAAGATATTTTAGGTTATGCTTTGTGTGGCCTATCTCTTCTGGTATTTGTCTTGCACATTTCAAACTCAGTTGACACGTCAGATGTTCAACAGTCAAACGTGATTAGTGGCCTCCATAAAGGACGGGGCTGCTTTAGATCCTACAGTCCTGTCCGGCATGAATAAGAGACTTTGGAAAGAAAATCAGACCACATTGGATGGGGAGAGAGAGGAGGGAAGGAGTGGACTGCACCACGGGTTCTGATCAGAACCGAGTCACACATCATTCTGATTCCTGCCTGAGGCCACCAGCAGTCACAAGGGTAACTGCAGTGGGTTGGATCAGAGCCAAAGATCAAAGCATCAGGAGAAAAGTTAGGTAAAACAGGCAAATGTCTTGCGCTTAATTACCTTGTGTGACTGGGGTCTGTAACAAATTCCTCCCAGACACCAGCTGGAGTTAAATTTTATGCAGACACCCCCTCTGTTGGAGCGGAGAGCATCCCCTGAAGTGGTCCTCCACCAACAGTCTGCGATTGTTCCGAAAAAGCAGGGCGGGAAATAACTGCACAGCTCCCCTCAGGCCCGCAGCCTGACAGAGGGCACTGGCTGCTCCCCCAGCCTCCAAGTGCCCGACTCTCTCTGCACCCACTGTGGTCGGGCCCACCTGATAGCCCTTCTGACTCAGGACATTCTCCTGCCAGCACAAACGCTGCTCTTGGTGCCTGTATTCTCCTTCCCGGTATTTCTGCTGGCTGGCATCTTCTCAGCCTTTGCTCTGAGCTCTCTGATTACTCGGCTGAAATCAGGTCTCTGCTCCATCCATACAACTTCACTGTAGTCTGGCTCACATTCATCCCCCACGGCACCCACCACAGTGATAACCCCTACTCGGGGCCGTGCACACACCGCGTAACAATGCTTTGGTGAACGGAGGACATGCACACAGCGGTACTCCCACAGGACTCTAGTGAGGCTGAAATCACCCCCAAGTGACACGGCAGCCATCCTAAGGGCACGGTAGTACAATTCTTTTCTCATGTTTGTGGTGATGCAGTGAACACACACTTCTGGACCGCTGATCCAAGGCACTTGGCAGTAAGTGACTGTGCTATCCTGCCTTTGTTTAGCGTATCGTCCGTTTGCTTGTGAGCACAGAAGTTGGCTGTGAAATAGGATGATGTGCTGGCAGCTGCCTCACACAGCTGGTGCTGGCTGTGTGTCTTGACGGCATCATTGTCTCTTGCATATGAATTGTGCTGCTTTTTCCTCGTGGCTATCATGTGTGTCTACGTCCATGTACACGCATGCATGTGCACACGTCAACATCCTAGGTGTGCCGTAGGCCAGACCATCCAGGTTTGTGGAAGTGCACTCCGTGATGTCTGCGGGATGATGAACTCCCATCTCTGAGAGGTTGTCCCTGGCATTAGGAGAGGGCCGGCCACAGTTGTTGACCAAGCTCTCTCTTCCTCATGAGGACAGGGACTTTGTCTCTGTCCTCCTGAAGGCCATTCACGTGTGCTTTAGGTAGGTGGGCAAGCAGGCCCAAGGAGGGGAGAAGGGAATGGAGTTTAAGGTTTGTGGCCTGGAGGCCATGCTCGGGGAAGCCTTTCCTCCGGCAGAGAGTCTAACACATTAGCCCTCAGCTTTGCATCCATGTTCTAACCCTTAAGAATGTATTCCCAATATACTTAGGAATATTGTATCTCAACTTCTGACAATAGAAATCAAAAATTTCCCTGCCTTTAAGCATCTGAGAACTGTTGGAATTTTATACTTGGCACTGCAGTCTTATTCTAGAAGGTCAGACTGTCTGGTCCCCGTGGACATTTTGTTCAATGATGGGCTGTTAAATTTTGGCCTGAGAAGGTTATGTTCCATCCCTTTAATAGACAATGCATGAGTCACCCTCAAGGGGCTTCAGTAAATTGAAAAACCACCTGAATCCTGGAGCTTACAAAATACCCCACCCAGAGCAATAAAAGGTCACAGATATAAACCCCAGGGTATAATAAATAGAATTAACTGGCCAATACAAGGACATAGCCACAGCCACGGGCAGATGAGGGTGTGTGCTCTCTTTCCTAAGATGTGTAAATAGCACCACTCATAATAAGAAATGCCAATTTTCTGGGCACCTAGAAGCCTTTTTACTTGGGGGTCTATCATTTTCAAACATTCACTTGAAATTAAAGGTGACCCAGAAGACCTTGTGCTTTCTCTAACTTGTGTTTCTTTGAGGCATTCTGTCAAATGAGTATTTTAGAAAAACTGAGGCATTAGACATAATCTTTTATTTCATTAAAGAAAAAAGCCAGTGTCTTTTTTAGCCAAATATTCCTTCAGCCCCCATAATTCTTGCCTGGTTTTTAAATTTCTATTCATTTATCCCCATACAAAAGAGCTCTCAGATGACATAAAAGAGTCATCGATGCAGTTGTAACTATAATCTGGCCCTCCTCTTAGGAAAGCATTTTACACGGGAAATACTTCACAGAGTCAACAACTGGGATCTCTTCTTACTAAAAAGTTTTTGCATGTCAAAAGAAATCTCCAACAGAGTGAAAAGAAAACCCACAAATTGGTAAAATATTTTATCCAACTGTCCCTTACACAAAGGACTTCTATTAGAACATAGACTATTTAAAAATCAGACCCCCAAAATTCAAAGACCCAATCCAAAAATGGGCATCTGAGATGAATACACACTTCTCAGATGAAGAAACACAAATGGCAAATAAATACATGAAAAGGGGGCTGGAGGTTTAGCTCAGCTGCTTAAGTACCTGCCCGGCAAGAGTGAGGTCGTGAGTTTGACCTCCAGGACAAACACACACACACACACACACACACACACACACATTTTCATATATATGTTCAGCATCAGTGGTCATTAGAGAAATGCAAATTAAAACAATGCTGAGATTCCAACTCACTCTAGAAAGAATGCCCAAGGTAAAGAAATCAACCAATAACAAATGCTGGAGGGGCTGTGGGGAAAAAGAAACTCTTTTTCACTGTTGGTGGGAATGTAGGCTGGTGCAACCACTGTGGAAATCAGTGTGGAGCTTGGTCAGAAAGCTAGGATTAGAGGTTCCATTTGACTCAGCTATTCTGCTTCTGGGCATTGTCTCAGAAGAATTGAAAGCATCATACCATAGTGATATATGTGCACCCATGTTTATAGTAGCACAGTTTGTAATAGCCAGATCTTGGAAATAACCCAAATATCCATCAACTGAGGAATGGATAAAAAATAAGTGGTATTTTTATACAAGGGATTACTACTCAGCTATAAAAAAAAGGACTGCATTGAGTGTTTTACAGGTAAATGGATGTGACTTGAGACATACTCATAAGTAAAATAAATCAGACTCACATACGTAAATGCCGTATTGTCTCCCTAATATAAGAAACTAAAAGAGCAAGTAAGATCCAAAATCTACAATAAGTACTGTAGAAGAGTAACGAACTACTCAAAGGGGAAAAGTGACTGGGATAGAGGAAAGGAGGAACGAAGGGAGAGAAAAGAAAAAGAATGAATTGTGTATACAGACAGAGACAGCTAAGATGACTGTCCTAATTCTATTAGTTCTTGGAAAAGAACAGTTAATACTCATATGATCAGATCAGCTTTGCATATCTGTATCTGGTAATCCAAGCAACTATTTTGAAGATAACAATATGCAACACAACAACGATTGTTAAATTCCTATCATCATGTTTTGAAAGTCTATATTGTAATTGTTTTGGGTTTGTGGGGGGTTTTTTGGGTCTCTTTTGCTTTTTGTTTTTTTCTGCTTTTTTGTGTTTTAAATAAAAAAAAAAAAAAAAAAAAAAAAACAAGAAAAACAGAAAAGAAAAGCAGTTTACAAAACGGAAGAGTCCCAGGGCTCAGGTCTGGGTGATTCATGATTGGACGCTCAGAAGAGTGAATTCAGTTTGATCCTGAGCCCTCTTTGGGCTGCTAGATGTTCGCACGCCCCTTTACGCCCCGTGAGTGAGAATTTGATCACAGAAGTCAAATCCTTCTGGTAGCAAAGTACCTCCATTCCCGTGTCCTAAAACTCCCTTATCGTGTAATAATGAATGGAGATTTAGTCCAATTTATTTAGCTTCAGTTTCTTCCAGTCATTTTGGTGTATATAATAACTTTAGTGTATAATAATCTAATAAAACTCATAAATGGTGACAAATATGCCACACTAATGCAAGATGTTGACACAAAGAAAACTGAGTATATAGCATACAGGAAGCTGGTGTTGTCTGTAAATCTACAATTAAAAGTTCGTTTAAGAAACTGCTCTAGAGTTAACCAGCCAAGTGACCTAGGACAGGCCTCCCACTGCCAGTTTGCTGGAGACAGAATTAAAGAGACTCCAGCTGGCTCTCTGCTGCTTTTCCCTGCTGCCCGGTTACGTTCTCCCAGATCTTTGTTGCTAATCAGCTTCAGTCTCTAGAGCACATCTCAAAGCAAGATGTGCTTGAAGGCTCAATAAATCCGGAGGATTAAATGGACCAGGAGTTACACCAACCTAAGCGACCTTTATTATCTTTATTACAATAAGGTCATTTACCCAAATATAGTAACAAAAGGTTCCGGCTGATAGCGCTCAGAGAGAAACCTGAGAGACGCTTTCTTCTGCCAGTCCAAGGACTCATTTTCTGTAAGAACACCTCGTTTTCAAAATGCAGAGAATCTGATTCTAGTACTATAAGTAGAGAACTCATAGGCTCCTTTCCATAAAGGACTCACGAGCAGCAGCCCAGCGTCCCGGCTGCGAACACCAGCCCCCTCAGCGCTCGCCCCAGAATCTGCTCCCTCACACCCCGTTTGCACCCCTTCCAGGCTTCTGTCTCTCCCTTTTCCTGTGCTTTTTGCTATTTTCTCCCCTCCTTGTGACCTACGTCCCACACTGAAAATGTCAGAACTGTTAGAATTTGGAAAGCGAGATGAGGAAAAGGGCCACCAAGTCTTCCTCAGCTCTACCTCGGTGACCAGCGAGTCCGACGACTGCATCCCTCCGTGCACAGTCACTGCCCACATCACCCCATGACAGGGAAAGACCCAGGTGGCTTGGGGCTGAGAAGAAGGGGATGATTACAGAGCGGCACAGGGAATGCTGAAGGTGGCGGCTGAGTTGACTGTCCTGAGCGCAGTGGCGGTCACACATGCAGACAGAGCAAGCTGGGTGAGCTTTTAAGGGCCCAGATGTGTCCCACCAGGCTACGGCACAGTCAGGGAGGGCGGGGAGTGGGTGGCGTGTGATTCCAACACCCCCGGAAGCCTCCGGCGCCTGTAACCCTCGCCTCCAGGATCTCAGCCCACAGTGCTCAGTGAAGTGAGTCAGACCCAGGAAGTTAGTTACCTGACTTCTCTCAAATGAGAAATATGGAATGCAAATACGTTAAGTAAAATAAAGGTGAGATAGTAGAAAATGAGACACACTTTTGGAGATGGGGAGAGGGAATTGAAGCTAGAGCAGGAACATAGGGATGGAGGAAAGCAAATCAAAAAGGTCATCACATGACATGTACAAATCCCCCAAAACAAATGTAAATATAATGTATCACAAACATAGTTCAATAAAAAAAAATTTAAGGGATTAAACCTTGCCTTCCATGTTCACTGATCAGACGTTCCAAGAGCATGCTGGCATTTGCTGCAGGGCATGATGCCAAGCTCTAGGACCTGGGTTGCCATGCTCTACATCATGGCACCCCTCTTCACTTGGCCATGTGCCCTCCCACTTGACCTAAGCAAAGCCAATGGCTCCTCCAGCCTCCAGCCTCCAGCCGGGGCCCTCTGTACCCCGGCTGTACCCAGCCATCTTCCCAGTGTGCCCAGCCTGCCCAGTGGGTCCAGGACCAGCCTCACTGCGCCAAGTGCTCATTGTCTCGAGCTTAAACTATAGCAGCTCCAGGGCTTCGACAAGACGGGTGGAGGGAGCGCTTGGAGCCCCACCCTCCCACTCACCTTCGCCCAGCGTCTGCTTGAGTAGGTCATGCTTGGCCTGGAGCTTGGTGATGAGATTACTGCCATTCACATACTCTTTAAATTTCTGTAAGATACAAGGCACAGGAAGTCATACGTGGCAGGGCCAAGTGGTGGGTGCTGCACCTCTGGAATGACTACCGGGACAGAAAGACCACAGGGAGATCAGGTCAACCTCAGCACAGGGACAAGGAGGCCTCATGGCACTTGCTCCTCAATCCGACAAGCAGCTGCTCAGTACTGGGGGCTCCGGGCCTGGCAGATGAGCTCTGGAGACACAAAGGAAGCCCACAGAACAGGAGCCATAATGGCCATTTTTGTCAGGTAAGGGCTGTGGGCCACAAAGCAAAAGGCGCTCTTGGTCATCAAGCTCTACTCTGTTTAAGAGCCTCCTGCCTGTACCTGTCAGAGAGGAGCCAGGAACACGCCTTCTTCTCATTCAGCCTAACTCTGAAGGGGGATGGGCTTTGCAGGCCCCCAGGATCCTGGCCCGTTAACCGGGCCCACATCGGGTAACCCAAGTTTCTTGTCAGTACAGATGCGACGATAAGGCAGGCACAGCGGGGCACCGCAAGGGACCAGAGCCCTGAACGCTGCTGTCCAGCTTGCGGTCCCCGCCCAGCTCAGCACCGAGGGTCGGAGACCAGGCAGGACAGAGACGAGCTGCCTGTCACACTCAGCCTGGCCAAGCCCCCACACAGCACCGCAGTGTCCCTCCCCCTCTTGTGCTGCACCACAGCAGGCTGCTGCAGGCCAAGGACGAATGGGGACTCCAGCCCCACGGGGGACAGAGACAGAAATGTCCAGAAACCACTGTGGATAGTGGTGAAGCTACAGACAAAACTCAAGCAGGGACGTGGGCTGGGGCCAGGAAGATGGCACTGCCAAGGGGTGACTAAAGCAGTGGGGGCAGGAATGGGCCACGGGAGGGCGTCAAGGAAGCAGCCAGGACGGCTGCAGACCTGCCAGCCAGGTTCTCACACAGCAGCCCGCTCTCCTGCCCTACCCGGCACACTCCAGCAGGGCAGAGAGAGACGTGCAGAAGACAGAACCTCCGCACGTTGCCCATCTCCTGATGAGGAAGCCACAGGGGAGTGGCTCTCAGACAGGGGCTCACACACACCGGTGACACCAGGGGCATGCGGTGTCCAGCCCCAGGGCTGGTCTGGAGTGACCAGCAGATGGCAACTGCAGTGTCCTCTCCCCCTCTCCTTTCCACACTCCTTAGCTCTGAGGACTTCGCCTCCTGGCCATTAAGAAGTTCTTCCCTTCATATGGGAAGAGCACGCCATTGTCTTCACACATAACTGGTAGAGGATCCCCACCACCTAGGGTGACAAATGAGGAAAGCATCAAGTTTGTTCTGTCCCCAAGGGAACAGGGGGCCAGAGCAGTGGTCACTTGCTGTGTGAGCTTGGACAGAACAGACTCATGGTGTTATGCCGAGCGTGGAGTGGAGGTCCAGGGGCCTCATCCCCGGAGCAGGAGACTGTGAACATGATTCCTGCGCCCTGGTACCTCACACGTGCCCTGTCATCTCTCCCAGAGCCGAGCCACGGTGAGGCTCAGGAGCTCGAGTCACTCGGGGGTGGAAATGATGTTTGGTCCTGTGACACCAAAGAGATAAAAGAGAGAAAACAGAGAAAGAAGGAAAGAAGGGGAGGGCTGCTGAAGAGACACGGCACCCTCTGGAAGGATCCTGCGGGCTTATCTGGGGTTGACAAGGGGAGAGTTAAAGGGCCGGGCAGAATGATGTACTGACAGCTGATTGGAGGAGTGTTGGCACGCACGCGAAAATCAGATTTAACTTTCAGCTTCAGAGAAGAACCCAGAGGGTCGTGCTGAAAGGGGGCACTGCCATGTTAAGTGGTCCGTGAGGAAAACCTGTCAATGTAGCTACTAGTTCTTAACAAGGTGTTTGCTAAGTCCAATCACAAGATAGAGTTGGATGTTAGAAGTGGGTAGATTTGAGAAATGAGCCCAAGTGAACACCAACTTTGTTGTGCAGACCAGCATCAGCTAGTCACACACTTCTAACAACTCTGTTTTAGGCACTGGCCTAAGACATTACTTTTTTGGATTGATGAACTTTAGGGCATGAAGGCCATGGTTACTGAACATGCACAGGACAGGAAATTTGACAAGACACAAGTGCTGAAATACTAGATAAAGGCTCCGGCAATGTGCAACTATTGACACCAGGAGAGACAGAGGGCTGACAGCAGATTGGGGCACAGGGGCTGAGTCAGCTGAGGAAGCTGAGGACCAAGACCTGAATAAGCTGAGAGAAACCTCGCGCAAAGGGCGAGTCCCTGAGCCAACCAGGAGAAGCTCTAGAAACCTGCAAGGCCAAGACAAACTAGTACTGAAATCCAGTGATGAAAGAGGTCCGGCGACCACAGCACACCTGCTTCTCTTCGCTTTTGCATGCCAAAGGGTTGTCTATAAACTGCTAGACTCACCCTAACCTCCACCTCCCTGTGGAGCCCCTTCTGAGAAGCAGGAGCTTTCCTTTCATTTATTCTAATAAACCACATCCAGTTCCACCCCACTGTCATCCTGTAGGTCTCATCCTCCCACTGCCATCAGGACAAGAGACCAGGGCGAGAGAAAGCCAGTTATATCAAGAAATGAAGCCGTCAAGAGGACACCTAAACAGCATCAGACATGGGCCCCATCCAGGACATCATCTGCAGAAGCTTTAAGAGGAGGAGAGATAGTTCTTGTATAGAAGTGGTGAATGTTTTCTCTGTTCTCTGTCGGTCAGCCCAGCTCTGTGAGTCTCACCTTAGAAAAGGCATCCACAAATGGAACCCTAGGCTACCCAAAGAAAGGCAGGAGTCCCTAGGCTACCCAAAGAAAGAGTTTTTAAGGGAAGAATGAAAGAATTGCGCATTTAGCGTGGGGACAGGAAACTCAGCTGCCTACAACCACAAAAACACTGTCACAGGGAATTACCCTCCAGAGAACAGGATCAAGATCAACAGCCAGGAATCCTAGTGCGCAGGTTTTTGAAGAAAACAAAGATAAATGAGAACATAATTCCAAAGCCAGTGGATGCTTTAAGACAGTGGAAGCTTTTAATCCTGAGAGTACTCAAGCAGTTCGGAAGATCTGGCTGGTATACAGACCAGAAGGAAGATAGGTCCCTTCAACCCTAATATTCAAGATCCAATAAATCTGTTGAACTGAAGTCCCAATTCCTGGTCTCCTTGTTTCTCTGTGCTTCTGACCAAACGAAAAGCAGCTAAACTGGGATTTAATGTGAGCAGTTTTCTTGGAGTGCTGAGGGTATGATATCTAAAGCCTACACCAAATCTGAGACAACTGCAGGTGCACACAGCCTAGATAGACCTCACCAGGGCTGTTACTTGGGCTTGCATCTGCTTACCTTAGCCAGTTCCCCTCACCCAAATAAATAAAAGGTTCTTTTCTCTTACTTTTTTTCTAGAGCAGGAAATTTTCAATAGCCATCATACAAACTCAATGCCAGTACAACCCATTGGTAAGTCATGTCCGGTATTTCAGAAAACCACGCCAGGCAAATTTATGTGAAAGCACGTTGCAAAGTACTTAGATCTAACCACCTCTGGTCCTCAGAGTCTCACTCAAGCTGCTCCCTGAAGCCACAGCCAAGTGGTCAGCAGACACGAGCTGGATTCTGGGACCAGAGTGCCACTTACTGTGAAATAAAACGTCTCTGTCTCCTGCTGGTTGGCTCGCCTCTTGGCGATGTTGATCTTACTCATGTAGGTCTCCGAGGCGGCTGACTTCACAGACTCTGTGGACCGGCTGTGTTGGAAGGCATCTGAGACATCAAAGTCCTCCACCGTCAGCATGTCCTGCAAGGTCTGCATGGTGGCGTCCAGGGTTTTTCTAACCTAGGGACACACAGCATGTCCACAGAAGACCGTTATTCTCATAAAGCATCATCAATGTATATTTTGTACTTCTAAAGAACTCTCTAAGAGGTAAGCAAGACAAAGATGATTATTCCCATTATGTCGATATGGAAATTAAGACAAATTAATCATTGGTCCAAGATTATGCAGCTGGTCAGGGTGAGAAGCCAGGCGATCCAACCTAAAGCTATTCCACTGTATTGCTTCTGCCAGCGAGAACTGTTTCTGTGGGCGAGGGACTCCGGTGTCTAGGGATTTTCTCTTTCCTGGTAGTGGCCCCAGACCAGGTGCCCCGTGGGAGGTAGTACAACAGTAGAATTAGCAGACTCTGATTACTCTTTCAGAATAATCAAGAGATCCCATCAGCAGGGCACAAGAAACTGGCCCTTACGCGCCCTGTGCAAGACAGGGTCTGAGTGGCAGACCTGACACCAGTGACAGCCATCCCGAAACAGCACGGAAAAGCGGTCTGCATCTGTTGTAAGATGTATAGAGGACACTGGGATGAAGGGCGTCTCCTAGAGCCGTGGGCAGTCACAGCGGACACGTGTGAGAAGATGTGGGTGCTTCCTTGTCACTCGGACCTCAGCTGGAATATCACCTCCTATCGTGACCTCAGGACCCTCTGAGGCCTTAACCTAGTGCTTATCACCACTTAATACTGTTTTCATGCTCATTGTTGTCATTCTGTTTTAACTTTTTTCTGTGTTTTTCTCACTAGATGTAAGTCCCACGGGAGCAGGTACTATGTTGGTATGTCCATTAATTTTATTCTCTGTCCAGAACAATGCTTAGTGTCTAGTACATGTTCAATAATAGTTCCATAAATGCTGCTTAAATATGTGTTTGCTGAATGAATAAATCAATTGTTCTTTCTAACACATGCTGACAGGAAGCTCAGTTTCAAAATAAAGCATGTCCAAGTCTGTTAACAACACAGAGAGGACCATTTACTTTGCCCTCCTTTCTGTGGTCCCGATTTTTTTTTTTTTTTTTTTTTTTTTTTTTGTCTTTTTCGTTTTTATTGGTACCGGGGATCGAACTTACGACTGTCTGCTTGCAAGGCAGGCGCTTATGCCACTGAGCTAAATCCCCAGCCCCTGGGTCCTGATTTTCCAAATTAAGTTCCATTATTGTCTATATACTATCCCACATAAGCAATTTAAAATGTTTTTTATTTGTTTATGTAAGCAATGTAAAATCCTTTGGGAGAAGAGGTAGGGCACAGATAAAGGAAGAAAACACTGTGTTCATCTGTCCCTTGTTGGTTTTGCATTCACATAACCCGCCCCAGGATCAGCTGGAGTCTCTGTTGTCCCGAGCTCTGATCTGCCTGCCCCTGGCCCAGCTCTACCCTAGACACTGGTGCAAGGCAGCCCCATCCTCTACCCTGCACAGCCCTCTTGAGACTCAAAGACAGCACCCACATCTTCTCACACGTGTCCACTGTGACTGCCCACGGCTCTCGATGACCCCCTTCATCCCAGTGTCCTTTCTCCAGAGGCTTCCTGGTGTTGGCCAGCATCCTCCCTGGAGATGGTGTCCAACTTTCTTCTCTGGTCTTCAGTCCACATCAGAATGGAGCCACCTCAGGAGGTCCTGCACCCGAATCTTTCAGGGATGACATGGCACCCAGCTTCCTGGGAGGTGTGCTGGGGGTGGGTGGCCTGTTCCTTGAGCCCCGACTCCACAGCACACTTAGGGTACTCAGCATTGTTTACTGCACTGTGATTTTAAATACCTACTACAATTTCTGATCACTGAAACAGAAACTTCTTATAGAAAACAAAAAATAAAAGCACAATAAAGTCAACAAAAGCCTATCAATTTCACAGCCCAGACATAAGCAGTTAGTATTTTCAATTCTGCCCCTCCGGTCTCTTTTCTATACCTCTGAACACACACTCTGACACATATACATAGGTTTCAGCTTGCCTGCGTTGGGATCACACTACACTGAATCCCACTTGCTCACTCAACTCTACAAGCGTTCCCTCAGCAGTGCACACTCAGCATGTGTGGTTTGCGCAGAGAGCTCATCTTCTGTCTTACAGACAGACAGCATTTCTCACACATTCCATGCCTCAAAGGACTTCCCAGGACAAGCCAGGCCTTCATAAGCAAACCCTTCCCAGGAGAAGGGGCTCGCTCACTGTAACCCTTAAACATGGTTTGCCAACTTGAGTGGAGGGAGCATCACCAAGCACATCAGTAAGCTCAAGCCCAGGTGTGTCTGGGGATGACTGGTGTGAGCAAGCCAAGGAGGGAGGGCCACTCTGGGGTGGGTGGCACCAACAATTAGCTTTGTACCCTGGATGATGTAAAAACTGGAAAGAAGGCAAAACACTGCCCATTTGGAAGCGCTCTGGTCTTCACTATCACCTTCGGACATCGATGCGTGGTTTCTCCCGAGGCGCAGACGACTCTCAGGGAGCCCCCGGCCTTCAGCCGTGGCCTGGCACTGCACACCTGACTCTTCTCTGCTCTTGGGCTGAGCAGCTGCTGGCTCCTCCAGGTCTCCAGAGGGCAGATGTCCGCGGCAGACTCTCCCGCCTCCAGCCCTGTGGGCCTACCTGACACAGCCCCTTGCACAGATGCACACGTATTTCCTATTGAGTATAACGCTCGAGAGAACTCCATGCACTCACTCACCTCCTCATTCTCGATCTTGAGTGTGGCCAGCCTGGACTGCAGCTGGTGGTACCGCATGAGCAGTTCTGTCTGGACTGGCTGCTGGGCACTCACCTGGCATACCTGCGGGAAGAAGGCAGGACAAGGCCGGGATGTCACCACCCGGCCAGTGGCACAGAGACAGAGCCAGGCTCAGCAAGGCAAAGAGATCTGAGCTCAACCGACTCGGCCATGCCAAGGGCAAAGCCAACCGGAAACAGGATCACCCTGTTTGGACACATTCCTGCTGTGGCCAGGGAACTCACCATTGCTGCATTTGTAGTCTACAACAGTTTTAAGATAATCTGATTAAGGGAGGCTAATAATTTCCAGGCAGGAAGGAGTGGTAAGAAGGAAAAGACCATGCCAGGGATCGTCAGTGGGGCACCTTATTCCCAGTGTGAGCCCCTCAGCTTCCCCTCATGTGCTGGCTGGGATGGTGAGGGGGGAGGGGAGGGAATACAGCAGGCCTTCTCCATCCATGGTCCCATGTCCACAGATTCCCCACCAATAGAAAATACACGGGGAAAGACTACTGAAGCTGTATCAAGCATGCACAGACCTATTTCGCTGTCATTGTTCCCTAAACAATAGCGTGTGACAACTACTGACATGGCATTTACACTGCACTGGGGATTCTAAGTAACCTAGGCATGGTTTAAAGTATATAAGAGACTGAGCATAGGCTGTATGCAAATACTGTGCCATCTTATTTAAGGACCTGGGCATTAGCAGGTTTTGGTATTCACAGGGGTACTGGCTAATCTCCCATAAATGCTGAGCGGTGACAGGTACAGTTTCCCCATACCTTTCTCCTCAGGACTTTATTACTACCTGTGGGCTAGGCTACCAGGTGTGCTACCCCATCCAAAACTGCGGCCAAGGTCAGAAGGGACCGTAGGGTTCTGTTTTGCAAGCTAGTCATGTACCACTAGCCAAGGGGCCCAAGTTTCACCATGGCAACTATGAGGCCAGAATCTTTAGGTCTAGTGGCCAGCTTCACAGGCAAACATGAGGGCAGGGGGCCCTAGCAGGAGCAGGGGCATCGTCCTGCAGGAAGCCTCTTGCAAATGAAGACATGTGGGGCCATTTGGAGCACACAGCAGATGCCGTTTGCAGCCACTTGAGCTCCCCTGGGACTCTGGCTGGCTCTGCAGGTGCCCCGCTGCTCTGGGACTCCCTGATTCCAGAGAGGGGAATGACACAAGCAAGCCGAGGGAACCCTCCGCCTCAGGCGCTTCATCACAGCCACAGTAAACACACTAAGACAGCTCAGACTGGTCGTGAGGGGACCGACCTCATCCCCCATATGGGGCTGGAATTCAAACTTGAGTGGAGGACAGAAGACCTGGTTGCACATGTCCATGACCGTGTGCTTGTCACTGCGGGAGTCCAGGTTGTCCACTGCATTCTCAATGACATCCAGTCCTTCGTGGCGAGAGGTTTCCAGGTTGTACTCGGCAGAGAGGTAGGTCCGGAAGGTGCGGGCCAGGCTGGCGTGAAACCCCAGATCGCAGCACTTGGGAAGTGTAACAACAGGAGTGCGAGGGTGAGTGGGAGGCGCAGAGCCTTTCCTGCCATGACAGACCGCATGCACGAAGCCCGCACGCGGAGCTGAGGGCTGGTGTCTGGGCAACAGCAGAGCTGCGCTAGTCCCCCGGGTCAGTGCGTATTTCATCTCCGGGCTCGGATGTGCACAGACCCTCCTCGCCTCTGGACAAGGTGCTCTGCACCTTCCCTCACTGTTCAGTTTAGAGGTCCCATCCTGCAGGAAGCCCTCTCTGACAGCCTCCCCACTCAGAGCCGTCGGGGTTCCCCACCGCTGAACATAACCCCGGCAACACGGCCCTGCACTCCCTCTTCAAGTGCCTTCTGCAGGGTGCCGTCTGTGAGGGCAGACGCCTGACTCCTGCCCACTGCTGCCCGCTTGTGTCCCAGGACATAGTAAGTGCTCAATAAACACCTGGCAAATAAATGCATGCAAGGGTATGTGAGCCACAGGGACAGTGGGCAGGCCAAGGAAGCGGCCCTGGCCTTAGGCAAGTTGGAAGACTAATAGGTCTTTCCACTGTGATGGTGACAGTGGGTCCCCCTCTGCAGCCACCAGAAAGCAGAGACCCTCTTACCTTCCCCCAACAGTTCACACTGGGGTCTGAGAAAGGACCCAGCAACTAGCACTAAACCTTTATTAGGCATCTGCAAGGTGGGTGGCCCTCAGTGCAGGAAGCAGAGATGGGGACACAGTCCCAGCCCAGCACTCACTGCCCGTCCCTTCCCAGGGCCCCAGTGGCCAGGCGCCCCATACACCGCCAAGGAGATACCAGCCCAGCTCCCGCAGTGCTCACATCGATGAGATCCGAGACGTCGTGGATGTAGTATTTGCTGATGGCTGCGTTAGTGGCTGCCAGGTTGAGCAGGTAGTCATTTCGGGCCTTGGTGCATTTTAGCTTGTTCTCCGAATACTTTGCCTGCCTCTGGGAGAGGAAAGAGCGGGTGTCAGCACAGAGCCTCTCGGGGAGGCCTCAGGACATCCTGTCCCCTGCACATGGAGAGGGCAGGCCGGCCACCTTGCCTGCCACCTGTGTGACCGGGGGTGACACTGCCTGACACACACAGCCTCGGGGTGGCCTCACCCGGGTGGGTATAAAGAGAATCCCTACTCGGCATCTCCCAGGGGCTCCCCGGCTGCTCAGGAGCCTGTGGAAGCTGGACTTGTCCATCCGCAAGCCCCGTCTTTCTCCCCTACAGCCCACTCAGCCTCCCGTGTTCTCTCTCTCTCTCTCCCTCCGTCCATCCCTCCCTCTTTCCCAGAGACTGAACCCAGGCCTCAGGTGTGACAGGCGAGCGCCTTCCTCCACGCACTGAGCTGCATTCGGAGCCCTTTCATGTTATTTGGAGATAGGTCACATCAAGTTCTCACACTGGCTCTGGACTGCCATCTTCTCATCTCAGCCTCCCCCAGAGCTGGGGTCACGAATGTGCACCGCCGAGCCTGACCCCTCGCCCGCCCGAGGCCCTTGGTCTCACTGTAGTCCCCCGATTCCCCCTGGTCAGCTCCTGTGTCACTCGAGTCCTTCCTCCAGGTCACAAGTGCACCCCGGCACCTCCACAATCCCCCGTCCTTGCCCTGCTCTTTCTCTTCTGTGGCCTTCGGCCTTTTCCAGCGCCTAAAGGGACAGTGGTGACCTCTGTGCTCACAGCACTCAGGACATCAGCGCTCTGACTGCCCGGGCCATGCTGGGGCTGCAGCACCCAGAGGCCCGCACACAGCCAGGTGGGATGTTTCTCCCCAAAGCTGCAAGGAAGCAGCAGATGGGGGGACGGAGCCAGAGGCGCTGGCCACTTGTGTGGGGCCAGCTGGGCGAGGGGTGCAGCGAGCAGACAGGCTGTAGAGCTGCCCCCGCTCCCCGGACTGAGGAGTCCCAGAGCCAGGGAGCGCTGGGTCTCTCTAGGAAGGCAGAGTTTTGCTCCTCCACCCCGGCACCCTGAAACTTGCATGCGCCACACCAAGTCCCAGCTCCCCAGCAGTAGCTCCCCAGGGATACCCTTAAACTGTCTTCCTCAGACACTTCTGCCACACCCCTAACGTCCTCCCACTGCGGTGCCCTTCCGGACACAGTCTCCTTCTGCCACTCACACATGCCAGCCACGCTCCCACTCGTGGGAGCACTGATCGTGGCTCAGTTTTAGTGGCTCACTAGGACCCAGATCACTTTCTGCCCTTTGCACACCTGAATTTGAGACCTGGAAAGATTCGCCAGGTGTCTAAGTTGCACTGACCTATTTGATAATCAAGGAAATAAAAATGAAGAGGAGCAGCTTTTCCAGGAGCCAGCTCATTCCTCGGCCGATGCCTCAGAACTAGAAATTAAGTCTCCAGAATCGCAGCCTGGTGACCCTCGGCCATCCCTCCATGTGTCACTGTCCTAGTCTAACACCTGATTGTTCCTTCTATTTACATTTATTTTCACTGTAGCCATACAAGCAGCATCACCATCTAAACTTAGAACGTTTTCATCATTTTTAGGAACAAACTTTGCACCTAATTAGCAGTTGTGTGCCCTTCTCCCCTTCCTCAGCCCTGAAACCAATACTCCACTTCAACATGAACTTATCTGCTCTCAACATTTCTAATAAATTAAAGTCAGGCAGCGTGTGAGCTTTCTCCACTTGGCATCATGCTCTTAAGGCTGAGCTGCTCACACTGGCAGGTGTCAATGTGCCCTTCTTGCCACAGCTGGGTAATGGGCTGCCGCCCAGAGAGAGCAGAGTGTGCCCACCCACTCACTGGTATGAACACGGGAGTGGTGTCCACCTTTTGGCTACTGCAGATGACACATCTGGGGACACGCATATACCGGCGGTACAGACGGGTTTGAGTTTCTCTTAGACAGATATCGGTAGTGGAATTGTTGAGTTACATTCCCACCAGTAGTGTGCGAGATGATTCTAATATCTCTTACCAACACTTTTTTTCAAGCCATTTTAGCCATGCAAATAGGTATAAACTAGTATTTAATGATTGGCTTTTTCACTGAGCCACATCCCAGCCCTTTAATATTTTGAGAGAGGGTCTCACTAAGTTGCCAATTTGCCCCGGTTGGATTCAAAGTTGTGATCCTCCTGCTTCAGCTGCCCAGGGGACTGAAGTGACAGATGTGTGTCTCCATGTCCAGCTCCCATTATGGTTTTTATTAGCATCTTCTTAATCATTAAAGATTCTAGGAATCTTTTATGCACTTATGCACCACTTATACAAGGTCACCTTTTCTTTTTTTAAAGACATGTGTATTTAAATGTTTGCCCATTTTTAAAGTGGGTCTTTGCCTGGTTGTTGCAGCTATCCTTGGCTTTAGAATTTACCCTACAGAGCCAGGCATGGCAGCACATGCCTGTAATCCAAGCACTAGGGAGACTGAGTCAGGAGGATCCCAGCAAGTTCAAAGCCAGCCTTACCTACATAGTGAGTTTAAGACCAGCCTGAGCTACATGGCAAGACCGGGTCTCAAGAAAAGAAAAGAAAAGAAAAGAAAAGAAAAGACCCTAGAATTTTATTTTCTTTGTGTCTAAATTACTTTTCCAGGTTACTGGATCCTCTTAGATTTCATTCTAACTCAATTTTGTATAGTTTTTAGATTCAAGGGATCTTATAATCATAGAGCTAGACTTACAGAAGCCCAAATAAGCATCTGGCACAATGTTTGGCCCCTAGAAGGAAATCAGCAAATGTTTGGTGACCGCACAGAATGAAGAAGATGGAGAGCTCAACAAGAAAACAGTGGCCGTCTAGAGGAAGGAATCTTACCAGTCACTTTAGAGTGACACAGTGGGCTCGGTCCTGTCCTCTGGAATCCCCTGCCATGGCAGACGTCATCAATGATCCTTGCACATTTTTAACTAAGCTTGGTTGGCTACAACCAACTGATCAGAATCAACTTGAAATGAAACTTGTTCACCAGCTCCATTGCATGCAAAATCTGGGGTACAGTAAGGTGCCCTGGGGGGGGCCTCCAGCCCCGAGCCCTAGTGTCCAGAGCCACAGGCCTCCCCTCACAGCCTGCCTCGAGGACCGTTCAGCACCAGTACTCAGGGACCCTCCATCCCGGGCCTTCAGAGACAGATGGCAGGGGACAGGGAGGGGCCAGGGAGGAGGCCAGGTGCATGCTGGGCCCGAAGCCTCCACGTTCCCTGGCTCGTACTTGCCTTCTCCTTCATCTTCTCGATCTTCTTCACGGAGCTGCGCCGCTGGGGCCGCTCCTCGTGCCGCAGCAGGTTCATGCTGAGCTCGCCGGACTTGTTGAACTGCTTCTCCTCCTGCTTCTCCGCCTCCTTCAGCTTGCTTTCTGCACTGATGCTCTCCGTGTGGTACATGTGGTAGGTCTTCATGACCTGAGGACACACAAGTGTGATCAGTGGCAGCCTGTCTGGCCCAGAGTGCTCCGCTCCATCGCTCCTGGCCCACCCCAAGATCTGCACCACGTCTGTCACCATCCTGTTTCCATGACACACACCCTGTAAGGACTGGAATCAACAGCAGCATCACAGTGACCAGCATCGCTGTCATCATCACCACCACACCATCCTCTGATGCCCATCACTGTCATGACCATCCTCATGATGACCATAGTCTCCACTGTCATGCCCATCCTCATCACCACCATCGCCATCCTCAAGTCCACACATCGTCATGGGCTAGGAGACAGGAAGAGGCAGAGCAACCACAGCCCAGGGGCAAGGCCAGCCTGGCCTTCCTCAGCCGCCTCTCTGTCCCTGCCAACTGTGAGCCATGTGCCCCTCCCCTCTCTCAGTCCCCTGGGCAGTGTGAGCAGGGGGACCCCCATAATCATGGGGACTCTTTGGGGGAACACAAATTGTTCTCTCATCTCTCAGCTGTTTCTTTCAGTAGAACGGACCTACCAAGGGCTCTGCCCCAAAAGGAGTAATTTTACATAACCTAACATTGTAGGTTTCTGTGCTTTCTGGAATACAGTCATTTTTAGCTATAAAAAGAATTCTTATGAAGCAAATTGCACTTTGCTATGCTACTTCCATAATCAAATAGGATAGTGTTATAAAAAGAGAAAACTCTGAGTCAGGAGAAATCCTAGCTGCCACCTAACCCAACAGCCATACTTTTACAAACGGGAAAACAGAGGCCCAGAGGGGCAAATGACCAGTGCAGTCTCCAGACTTTACACTTACTTAGCCATCACCGCAGTAGAGCTACAGACTCCCATCAAGGACCCTCAGGCAGCTGACAGCCAGTCCCCGATCCTGCACCCCAGCCCAGGCAATCACCGATACTGGCCTTCTGTCCCTGTGGTGTGGCTGAGTGTTTTACAGCTCTATGTACGTGGATTCTTATGGTGTAAACTCGTTGGGTCTGTCCTCTTTCAGCAAAAATTTTTCAGAAATTCACTTCTAATGCTGCCTGAATCAGAATTTCTTTTTTTATGGCTGAGTAGCATTGTACTAACTAGCTATAGACAATCTGTTTATTCTCATGTTGACAGTTATTTGGTTTGTTTGTTAACTGAGGATGTCATGAATACACCTGTTACGAGTGTCTGTGTGAATCTTTCTGTGGATTCCTTTCCTTTTAGGTAAATACCTGGGATTGTGTTGTAAGTATGTATTCAATCAGATCAGAATGCTGGTCTTTGACTTTAAATATACCGCTTTTACTGTTATATTGTACTGAGTCCTGATTTCTTATTCTCAGCAGGTTTGAATATTTTGGACAACCCAGGAAACCTGCAAGCACCCCTGAAGCAGTGTGTGTCCCGGTCCCCAGGCAGGAATACACTTTCTCCTTCGGTATTGAGTTTACGATCATCTTTCTGTGCTAAGACATGGAAATTCGGTGGTATCCCTGCTGCTGAGCCTCGCACACTCTCTTTCATGGTCAGAACATTCCAGCAGCTGACAGGGTAGAGGCTTGCCCCGAGGACATCCTCCGCCAGCCAGGTGCTCGAGGTGGGGCACTTGGAAAGAACCGGCAGCCAGCCCTGTCACCCTGCTCGCTCCGTCAGAGTCCCGAGAAGTGAGCCGATTGGAAAGGGGAATTCTTCGTGGTTCTTTTCATTAAGTAACAGTGCTGATTTCCTGCTTCACAAGCTCCCTTTGTCATGGGGAACATGTAGTGCAGAGCACCGTAAATGACACTGTCCCAGTCACGTTTCTCACTGCTGAATCAGAACACCCGACACCCGAAGTTAAAGAGTAAAGGTTTACTGTGCTCATGGTGTGTGGAGGTCTCAGCCCACCGTCGGCGGGCTCCGGGCAAGGTGGACGGCAGAGGGCACCTCGAGGAGAAACAGTCCCAGCAAGCAAGGGACAGCCACCGCTCTTTTTTTTTTTTTTTTTTTTAATGTTTATTGGTACAATATAAATATACAAGTTGATCACACTCATCACAGGGACCTTGTATCTGTACCTGAGATGCTGGTACTTTTTTCCTGGTTCCCTGCCCTTCCTTCAATGCTTCTTCTCCACCATGCTTACAAAATGTTCTCTATCCTTTTTTCCTCAGTTTTTCTTTCCCCTCCTATTTCCCTTTTTTTTTTATCAGTTTCCCCTATTTTATAATATCAGTTATACACTTTTTGTTGTCATTTGTACTCAGTTTCCTATACCAGAGACACAACACAACACTTACACACACGTCCAGTTTACTTCACTTAAGAGTATGCGTGGTCTTGGGCCCGGATGTTGCTCAGTGGCACAGCACCAGTACAAAAAAAAGAGTATGGTCTCGGAGTCCACCAATTTAGCTGTAAGTGTCTCAAGTTTATTCTTATTTATGGCTAAGTAGCACTCCACTGAGTTAAAATAAAACGTATCTTAGCCAAGTGTGGTGGTGCGTGCCTGTAATCCTAGCACTTGAGAGGCTGGGCAGGAGGATTGTTGCAGGGTTGAGACCAGCCTGGGCTACACAGTGAGCTCAAGGCCAGCCCAAACTGCATAGTGAGATCCTATCTCAAAAAGACAAAAAAAAAACACCTTTTATAGCCATTAATTGTTTGGCGGGCATTTGGGTTGTTTCCAAGATCTGGCTATTACAAACTGTGCTACTATAAACATGAGGGTACATATATCACTGTGGTATGATGTTTTAAATTCTTTCAGGAAGAGCTGGGTCAAATGGGACCACTAATCCTAGTTTTCTGAGGAATCTCCACACTGATTTCCAACGTGATTGCACCGGTCTGCATTCCCACCAACAGAGGAGAAGGGTTGTGGCCCTGCCAGCCTTTGCTATTGGTTGATTTCTGGTGACAGTCATTCTTTCTGGAGTGAGATGAAATCTCAGCATTGTTTTAATTTGCATTTCTGGAATAACCAGTGATGCTGAAAATTGTTTCATATATTTATTTACAATTTCCACTCCTTCATCTGAGAAGTGTATATTCATGTCAGACCCATTTTTTGATAACCATGGCTTTTTCTACCCTCTGTATCTTATCCAGGCTGCTCAGGGCATATAGCACTCACATGCTTAACCCTATGCCCTTGATCCTAGCCTTGCACCATAAACAAATCCCAGTGTCCCACACTTTAGATCCAGCCACCCCTGTAAAGCCCCACCTCGACTGCATAAGGCTCTGGAGGACACCTACACAGAGCCATGATAGTACGAGTTGGGCCCAGATGCCACGACTGAATCCTGAGTCTCCTGCTGACAGCTGTGTGACTATGAGCAGGTCACACAGCCTCTCAGACTTCTGATTCCTCAGCTGCAAACAGGGAAAATATCAGCGCTTACCTCCTAGGTGTGCTGCAAGTACTGAACGAGCTCAATTTTACTGAGATCACTTCTTCACAGTCAAAGCCATGGAACGTTGGCAGCCACTAGCACCTCCACCCCCATCATCCCTGAGCCAGGGTGAAGGTTTAACAACTTTGAAATTATTCATCTGACTTTAGAAAAGTGCTCACAAACTCTGAAGAACGTAAACTAATGTGAAAATGTTTTTCCTTCCTTCCTTCATTCAGAAAACCCCACAAAAGTTGCTAAACAGCATGAACAAAAAATGCAACGACTTTTCTCTTCCGATCTTGGTGGCAAGAGCTCTTCCCTGCCTTCCGTCCATCCTGGTTCACTGGCAGTGGCCCCAATGTCCCCTTCTTGCTGACTGTCTGCATGCTGCTGGCCGCTTCCACTCATTTCAAAGGCATCAGTGGCCTGAAATGTGTGCCCTCTCGATGCCTTCTTGGCATCGGGTGATGGAATGGAATGACGATAGGCATGTGGGAAACTAACGCATTACCCATCTCAAGGGTCTTGATTTCAGGCCAGGGTGGGCTTCCTGGGCCCCGCCGCCCCTTCCTCCACTGTCTTTCCCATTCCGACACCTGGCTTCCTTGCTGTACCCGCACTGCTGCCACCGCCCGTCCTAGATCCTGCTCCTTCCTGGTTAATGGCGCCTGCTACGTCCTCTGCTTCTGCTTCTGCTTCTGCGCCTGCTCATCTTCCCAGCAATCCTTCCTCAGGCTGGGTAGATCCCAGAAGACAGAGCTTCCCATCCGGTGGTCCACGAATGCATCTGTCCTGTCACCAAGGGCAGCGCTGGCTGGGTGTTCTCACCTCCCGTGTTCTCGCTGGCCACATTTTCTTTTCTTCTTCTGCTTTGTTCCTTTTACTGTTCCTGAGCCAGAGTACTTGCCTTGCTCTCCGGCCAGCCAGGCTTGCCAGGACAGTCTCTGTGCTGTGCTGCTTTCCAAGAGGCCCCACGCTTGGAGAACACAGCCCAGAGAACCTGGGGCCAAGCTCCCTCCGACCCATCAATTCGGGATCTTGCAGATAACAGTGAACTCAGTTTCCCTGGGTGGTACATAGACGTCTGCCACTGAGCAGCTCACCTGCAGCCTCTCGGAAATGAGTTAATTTTTACCAGAATCCTCTAGATGTCTTCTTCATTTACTTAGTTATACGTTGGTTTCAGGGAGGATTGGTTCCAAGACCCCCACGAACTCCCAAATCTACAGGTTTCACTTACTGCCTTATATGAAACTGCATGCAGCCTAAGCACATCCTTCTATATGCTTGAAATCATCTCTAGTTATCAAAGTAACTGATATGATATAAACGCTATGGAAATAATTGCTATTCTGTATTCCTGGAGAATCAAGAAAAAAGTACCTGCTGTACAGACATGAATTTTTTTGCTCTGTCATTGGCTGAATCCAAGGACATAGAAGTCACAGAAATGGAAGGCTGACTCCCCCTGAAACACAGCCTTCAGTATGAAAAGTCCTTAGCTCAAAAGAAAAGCAGAGGGCTCTGCCTGACATTGACAACCAAAGTGTGCTAAGTGATATTTAAACTTATTCCTTCAAAGTTTGTGAAACCCTTTCTCTACCCTCCTCTGGGTGAGTGAGACATCCTC